TTACATATGACACAGAAAAATTGGTCTCAGTGACTCCTATGGATACATGACTATACTCATATTCCATTCGTTCTTCCCCAAGGCAACATACTAACCAGAAGAAAGAGATGGAATGGGGGTGCAGAATGTAGTCATTTCTATCTTATTTAGACAGATACATATCTACTTGAGAACTTTCCTCAATTTCTTGCATTATTCAGCCAAGTATCATGCTAGCTGCTCCAAGGAATATAAGACAAATAAGACACGGCCCTTTCCTCACACATTTTATATTTGGATGGAGGAATAACTCTACTATTCAGAAAATAATCACATAACACAAAGCAGTGCCTACTAAAGTCCTAAATTATATTGTACAAGTAGCGCACGCTCTAGCTCAGAAAAAAATATAACATGCTTGTCCTGGATCAATGCTGGAAAGAAGAAGAAGGTAGGTGCCTGGGTGGCTCGTTTGGCTAAGCATCTCTTTTTGGCTCAGGACATGATCCCAGGGTCCTGGGATGGAGCCCCGCATCAGGCTCTCTGCTCTGCAAGGAGCCTGCTTCTCCCTCTCACTCTGCTTGCTGCTCTCCCTGCCTGTGCTTGCTCTCTCCCTGTAAAATAAATAAAATCTTAAAAAAGAAGAAGAAGGTAATATTTAAGGTATATATGTATTTGAGATGTGTGTAGGCTGATTGAAAGCACTTAGATGAAAATGACTCGCTCTTAGTCAATTTCATATGTGGTCTGCAGTAATAAGCATCAGAATGTCCTGTGGAATTGATGATGGTGATGATTTTCTCAGCCTCGATCATTTACTGAGTATTGAGCACCCTGCTGGACACTTTCTCATACATCATTTCCAACCCTTCCAGCGATGCTGAAGGTTGATAGGCCTCTTTTACAGATGGGCAAACTGAGGCTCCAAGAAAAAAAACCATGGCCCAGGGATACACTGATGGGAAGACACAGAGCCAGGACATCTGTCTAACTATAGCTCCCCACTCCCCACCCCCAGCCTGCTTTTGGTGCCTGGTGGACACATTTCAGAATGGACAGCTTTCAGGGTGGAAAGTCTTCTCTGAGAATTTGTTGTCTCAACTTGGAGCCTCAAAGAAATACGTCTGTGCGAAAAGGGGAAGTGTTAACAGTCGGCCCCAGTCTTTTCTCATTTTTTGAGGTTCATGGTAAAGGCACCGCCCCATGGAAGAGTTGTCCAGAATTTAACTTTCAGTCGTAGGCTTGTAACAACAAAGAAAAACTGGAAAATATTTCAGAGTTTTGATGATTGTTCCGGAAACTCTCACGTAGGTTTCCAAGTTCTGTTGATTTCATTTGGCAGCACAGGACTAAGGTCCTTGGAGTAAGAGCTTCCTTGCTGCCGTGACAGGCATTGTCCTGCATCTGAAGAAGCTTAAATATGGGGAAGGGAGTCTGGGTACATAACACATCTTTGTCAGCATGGGCTGGAAGCATAGTGTCTCCCCTCATGGGTCTCTTCAAAGAGTCTCTTCGTCTGTTTCCTCCGCTGATAAATACAGGTGCACAGTGAATAGTAATGGAGGAAAAATGAGAAATGGGAATTTCAGGGCGTCCCTGCCTGACTGTGATGTCAGGAAGTACTTTAGGAAAACATGGTAGTTGTCATCCAACTTATGAAAAGCCCATGACTGTATCATTAAGAAGAGACTTTCAATGAGCAATTCTTAATCCTTTCGAGGTCATGGACTCCTTTGCTGGAAGTTATGAATGCTCTCTCCTCCCCCAATAAATACACACATACTGCACACATACCTAGTGATGTTACAGACACTTTCCTTCCAATGTCCGTGCCCAATGCAGTGCATTGAGAAAAATTGTGGAGACACGTTGGGCTTGACAGGAGAAAAAAAAAAAAAGCCTTGTTTGACGAGTGACATCTTCCCTAATAGCATGGGAAATGGGGAGTGGAATGTGGGCTATGAATCTACCATTCCCAATTTTTAAATCCTCTTTGTTCTAAATAATTTATTTTTACCTATGTTATTTTTTCATTGTCCCCCCTAGAACATAACTGCCACAAGAGAGCAGAGAGTTTTGTAGTCTACTGCTGTTTCGCTGGCGCCTAGAACAGTAGCTGAAAAAATAAAGGTGCTCCACGAATGTTATTGAGAGAAGAAATGCATCCCCTCTTGGGAGCACCAGGTTACAAAATTTACTCTCTCCCATGTGAATTAGTGTTTGCTTTGATTTAAAATATGGCCAGATGCATTCAAAGGCTATCTTCTATCTTAGCATTTTAGGAAGTTTACAAACGAAGTCTGTATTGGGTTTTCAGGACTTTTGCTAAATTTAATTATATACTGTTTTCTTTTTTTTTTATCTGCCTAGATTCATCTCTTTTCTCCCACCAAATAACCATCCTCTCGGCTGTTTCAGTTCCCATGACTAAAGATGTATTTGGTGGCATCAGTTTACGAAATAAAGGGAACAAGACGCAGCACATTCAAATGACAGCAAAATAAATGTTAGTTTCTCCAACTATATTTGCTTAGTCAGCTCTACACATATCGAAACAATGTAAATACGAAATATGGACGTGCTCATATAAATAAGCTTTTTTTTTTATTGACAGCAGCTATGGAGTATATGAAATCAATGTGGCTGCACTACTTAAGAACTGCTTGTTCCTTTAAAGGGTTTAAATATGGCACCTGCAACTTGTTCCCATTTAAATGACTTCACAAACCATTTCCCTAAATAGGGTACGAAGTCGGTTTTCGTACTTGTTAAATTACCACAAATTCTGTGTTACAAGACTGAATTAATGAAGTCTTAAGCTATTTTGTACTCCTCATTCCTAGGTTTAATCGAAAACAGTGCTTTACTTCTTTTTTAATTAAAAAAGTAGTGAAAACTACAAGTAACATTTGATTGTGCTGCAGTGCAAAGCTACATTTTGAAATTATAACCAACAAAACTCCAAAAAACCTGTTTCAGGGCCAAGTATATGCAGTTAACATTTATAATTCCTTGGAGCTCTGCATTGGCTGCCAGCAAACTTTCAAGATATCTGGCCGATAAGAAAGCTGGCAGAGACCACACAGGAACAGAAGTCAGTGATACGAAGTAAAGCTCATGCGAATTTACTGCTGCTGGTTTTCGGCTACTTGCCTCAGTTAAGCTATGCACTGCAACGACTTAATTTGTTTCAACATATCTGCACAATGATCCTCAGTGCTCAGAGGCTATGGCCTCGATGCCCTTGCACAAGCACTCACGCATATTCACGTTCACACTCACACGGGCAGTCATGCTCACACCTGTGCAATTACTTGACAAGAACACTGTTCAGTTGACTGATCAAGAGATACGCAGTGCAAAGGAACAGGATTTGAGACAGCCCAGGGTTTCCTCTTCTAGTAGGTTTAAAACATTTTTTTTCCTCACTAACTTCCTTCCTGTTCTAACTGCCAGAACTCAGAAGTCAGAGTGAGAGACAGAGGCACCCCAGAGAGCCGTGAGCCACTGAATGTAAGTTGAAATACCTCGGGGTGGGGGAGGCTATAGGTGGGCACAGGCAAATGCAGGCAATCTCTCAACCAGGCGACGACCCTCTCCAATTTATTTTTTTAGATTATCTTTGAAACCGATAAGAAAGTACTAAGGAGGCGGTAAGAGCAGTTTGCAGAGAAGGGGAAGTCAGAGCAGGGAATCTTAGCAATGACTCAGGGGAGAGAGCTCAGCGAAGGAGGGGAGGGCGCGCCCTGCAGCAGCTCGGTTGATGAGATCCTGAGTGTGTGGGAAAAGGGCCATGAGTGTAACTCCTGAGGAGTGCCCGGAGGGGTTTCCTACAAGGTAGGGGTGGGCATCCAGCCAAGTTCAGAAGCAAAAAGACTGTGGACCCAAACTGGTGTGGAACATGCTAGTAGATGAAGGGTTGCTGCTGGGGTGGAGATATGTGGTTTCCTGTTTTTAAGTAGATGTAAAGAGACTGATTGAAAGGAAAAAAGATAAAGACTCAAAGCTGTCAAACATTAAACTGTTTTCCCCTAAAGAATTTTTCTGGTGATATAAGAGAAATGCATAATGAAAGCCTTCCTTTGAGTACTACGGGATTTAACAATCAAAGGGAAGGTAATGGTAGAACATGTTGTTATTTACTCCTTTGTCACAGTGGAATCAATTTCTATCACTAACAAAAACCACGTATTAAATTCCTACAGTCAGGGGCACCTGAGTGGCTCAGTCAGTTAAGCATCTGCCTTTGGCTTGGGTCATGATCCCCGGGTCCTGGGATCGAGTCCCGAGCCTGCTTCTCCCTCTGCCTGCTGCTCCCCTTGCTTGTGCTTTTTCTCTCGTTCTGTCTCTGTCTCTCCCTCTCTGGCAAATAAATAAATATCTTAAATATAAATAATAATCTATGTATGTAAATTCCTGCAGTCAGATGGGCAGAAAGTTCATTCCTGTTATTGCTAAAAAAAAAAAAAAAAATCTTTACATCCAAGAGGACTAAAAGCAGAGAAGGCACCAAATAATTTATTAAGAGATAGGTTCTACAAAAATCCAATTAGCCCGGCTAGGATATCTAAACCGCCAGCCTTCAAAATGTCAAGGACTGAATTTGGCGACCATTAGAAGTGCCTTAGGCATGATCTGAAATTCTTCCCTTTAGAGGCGGCCCCAGTCTGCATGTTTTATGAACCTGGTCTGTTATTACACTCTAGACTTAGTTATGGTTACTTGTGGCCTGGGTCTGATTAACCCATGGCTGTTCTTCCGTGCACGGTCCAGGAAGGCAGACTGCTCTCCCAGAGAGATCCGCCCCATAGTCACCCTTTCACATGGAAACCAAGAGTCACCAAAATCTGCATTAGTGTGTTGGAGCCTCCCTGCAGGAATGCTCAAGCAAGGGAAATCCAGAGTTCGGTGCCCAGGCAGACATCGCAGATCTTTGCCATCGCTTTGTTTTGTTAAGTGTTCAAGAAAACGTCCCTCCCAAATCCAAATGTGACACAAGCATAGTAATAAGATCATCTTACTCTTTTGTGAGATGGGCAGAGAGTTCTGAGAGAAGAGTTCCTTCTCCATTCAGGATGCTCAGACCTGGCACGTGTGGAATCGCCGTGCTCCAGCTGAACCAAAGCTGATGGACACATTCCGGCACATTCCAGGGATGGGGGTTTAGTCCTTGCTTGTTTTGGAGAGCATGAATTTGTCCCTAGGGAAGTAGGCTGGGAGCACCATGGAGGTTCTGTTGTCAGTGGAAGGTCACCACAGCGAAGTCATTCTGACGGGAAGATCAGCCCAGGCCAATTTATGGGAGCACAATATAGTACAAATTTCAGCTAGCAGCCCAGGGACTAGAACAAAGCAGATAAAGAAAAAGAACTGACATCCATTGAGTACCTTCTCTATGTCAAGCCTGGTGGTAGAAACTTTCCAATTTGAATCCTGAGAGGACAGTAAGGCTCAGAAGTGTTCAATTATTTGACTAAAGTCACCAAAAAAAAAAAAAAAAGAACCAACAACTACAATGCCTTAGAAGGACATTTTAAGAAATGTCCCGGGGGGCGGATTTTCTCTAATGCCACATTCTGGGCGTCCTTATTCATAGGCAGTGTTATGCTGTCCAGGGCCCTGGATGAGAGGCCATGCCCAGGGGTGGCTCTCATGTTCAGTCTACTACTTCAACGTTTATCCCTTTAGTAAGCACTTCCCCAATCGCTCTGGGCCATGTCACACTCTGGTGTCCACAGCCAGAGCTGGTTCAAATTCACCTGAGCTTTCTTCTCAGCACCCGTGGTTATAGATGGTGTCTTTACCCCTTTTCATGCTGAATTTAAAATTTCTGTGACTGTCTCAAGTTATGGCAGTCTAGTCTTTTGCTTAATAATGGCGTCCTTGCTGCAGTTTTCATCGAGGATTATTTAAAATAAGTATTTGTGAAAATACCCAGCATGGTTAATTTCACAGGGCAGACACCCAGCAAGGTTGAATGGGGCCACCGAGTTCTCTCTCCTTTTGCATAGAAATCTGGGTTAGAAGAGTATACTGTGAGTGTGCCGGGAAGAAAGAATGTCTCGTTGCTCCCACCCAGGGAAATGTTGAAGAATTCTGCTTCTAGTCATGTGTATCGTTCTCTGGATTGATTTTAATGTCTATTTTATCTAACAAGACACCATCCTCTCAGGCACTGAGTTGGTTCTCCTCACTCAGCTTTGCTCTTTCAGATGGTCTTCACAGAGCTAACAGGGTAGAGAGCAGCCCTGAGGAGCCCAGGAGGCACCAACCCTCCATGTTGCTAAGGAACACTGAGAAACCACAGAGGACTCCAGAACCAAGACAGCTTCTGGTGTCCCAAGGGATCAACTTGGAGTCCCCAGATAAGCCCAGTCACCAGGCAGGCAGCAAAACAGACCCAAATCCTTGACTGGCTCTGACATGCCGGCCATCCTTCAGGGATGGTCCAGCTCTCCATGGCCCGCTATCTAGAGCTGCAGCCCCAGGTTTAGCGAAAGTGGGACGTATCCTTGTCAGCAGGGAGAGGACATGACAGGGTGACAGAGAATTCTAATGCTTGCATCAGCACTTCTCTGATGGAAATCCCCCTACTTCTGGTACTTCCATATTTTGCTGTCCCTTTGTTATCTCCACGTCTTCTCTCTCATATTCATGACCTGTGCATCTAGAAGCATCACCTAGCAACTTTGGAACATGAGATCGGTCTCCACATAATTTTGCTCCAGAGCCAAAGAATATTCTCTCCATTGGCTGCACCTGTTGTCTTTTGTCATTTCTCGTCATTCACGGAGTCAACTCTGGCTTCAATTAGGAAAGGGAGCAATAAATAGAATCTAAAATTAAGTTGTTCATGAGGAAGCTTTTTAAAGAAACATAATAGTGATATTCCCATTTTAAGCTTGATTCAGTTAATAAACAGTTCTCGCAATTCCCAGAACTTCTTGTGTCTTCTGTACTCCTCAAAGAAACAAAATCTATTTTTAAGATGGAAGGAGTGGACATTGTCAACACTGCAGCACCAAGGGAAAGCATTCGGTGCCCAGGGAGCCAGTTACCTCACTTCACAGAAGCTGTGCAACAGGACAGACCATCCCACAGGGCAGGGAGCAGAGGAAGAGAATGGGTAGTTTAGTGAACATCTGCTACTGGCCAGGATCGTCTGAGAACTTTTCATGTGTTTCCTCCAACTCTTCAACCCCATGAAGAGAGATCATTATTTCCATACTACTGGTGGAAAATCTGGGGCTTGGCGAGGCTGATCATTTGCTTAGTTAGGTCCTATAATAAGGCAAAGCAGAACCACATTGTGAATCTCTGGCCCGCCAGACTCCAAGTCCAGATCCTAGTAGGCCTTGAAAATCACCTTTCTTTGAAGTAGCCAGGTAATCTGTTTCATCTAAACTCAAGAGTTTCACCTGTTCTTGCCCTCTGCTTCTTTGGAACTGCATCACTGAACCAGACGAGGGTGCTCTATCCTGAGATTGGTGCATATTCTTAAGTTCGGTATCTTGAACATTTCACTGGATTTGCAAGCAAAACCACCATTGTGTGCTATGGCATAGTCATGCCACGAGTAACTTGTCCTAATTTAATGTGGCATTTTAATTGAGCCTGAGAGGATTAAGTTCCTATCTCAGCACACCTCCTGCTTACACTGCCTGCCTGCCTAGCAAACAGGAGGGTGTGAGGGGTTCACTGTGAAAATTCATCTGTGGAGGCATCCATGAAGCAGGAGATAAAGATAATGAGTAGTAAGCACACACACACACACACACACACACACACGCAACCAGTATGTACTTTGGGTCTTGATGGAGTGCACACTAACCTTGTTCAACACATAATTCTTGAGTCTCCATTTCACTTTTACTGTGTCAAAAAACCAATGTCAAAATGACCTCCAAGCAAACAAAATACCTCTGCTCTTTGTGGAACGGTGGGTGAGCTGCAGAGGAAGGTGAGAAAAGGCCAGCTAGAATGTTCTGCACAGATGAACTGGGTTCTCCCCAACCCCACCTCCACTTCCTCTTTTCTTTTCTCATTTCAGAGGCTTCTTTAAATAAAGGAGCATTCGAGTCATTGAATTAGGAAGAGGCCTCAGAGGTCCTTCTAAGGCAATGATTTCATTTTGCAGAGGACAAAACTGGAGCGCAGAGAGGTTCAGGGACTTGTACAAGAGTACACGGGACAGAGTGGCCCTGAAACCCTCTCTATGTGATGCCTCCCTGCCTCGCTAAAGCCTGCAGAGTCTTGCAAAGAAGCACATTTCCTACTGCCTGTGCACCCTCAGGATAGATTCCCAAGATGACTAATGGGTTCTATAATTTCATTTTTACTTCTTACTTAAGACAGCTGGAGCAACAGAGCATAGCACCTGCAAGCCAGACAAGATGGCGGAGATGGCAATTCTGCCCCTTACATAGGTCTTCTTCCGCAAGCTTCTCATCTGAGCTTCAGTTTACTAACCTGTAGAAGAGCATATGACCATGCCCGCCCCCGAGGCTGTAGTGAGGAGTGATGAGCTAGTCCTCAGGACAGCATTTAGCGTTATGTATGATAACTATTATAATTATCATCATCAATAACATCTTTGGATGATACTCGAAGGTAGTTGTGGAATTTCTATAAAATGCCCATTCTCCCTTTCCTAGGCATATCCCACTGTAAAATGAGGGGATAAAGAGAGAAGACTGATATGTATGGTCAGTATATACATAGTTTACATGTATATTTATATATTCACATGTATAACACACACATAATTTGGGAAATCATTATCAAACTCCGTAAGCCATGATGGCTGAGGCATTGGCAGAATCCATGGTTCCTCAGAGATGAACTGTGAAATTAAAAATGCTGTTTCTTTTGGGACTTCAGACAAATTTGAGATAATGAAACAGAGATTGGGTAATTCTCTTCTGTACACAAGTGAAATAAGGTAATCAAATGTGTGCAACTCAGCTGACGCATGTCCGCAGGGCAGAACGAATCTACAGATGGAGAACTTAGAAAGGGAAAGCACCTAGAGGTGGTCTGCTCCAACCCCCAAACTTCAAGAGAAGGAGAATAAGCACCACAGTGGGTAAACCAGTTGCTCAGGGTGTGACAGCTGACTAGTAGCCAAGCCAGAATCAACACCTGTGCATGGTGAGAACTAGTTCAATGAAGAGATAATTATCCAAAATCAGGTAGATTGACCTCAGAACACTTTCCCTCAAGAGCTGTGCCCTATGCACCTTTGCTCCTCTGCCAGGCTGGGTGTTCATATTCTCTCAGATACAGATGTTACCTGATATCTCCTGCTTTTTCATATCCAGCATTTGGGGTTTGATAGACATGATCCTTGGCTGGAAGCTAGTTTGGGTCACTGATGCCGCCAGGCCTCCAAAAGAAGAAAGCTTCCACTGTAACAGTCAACTCTCTGCTTCATGTTTCCAAGAAGTCACAGTTTCAAGGTCATGTTTCTAATCTTGGACTCTAGTAAAGTCTATGAGCCTCTGGATTGCATGTAGCATCTCATGGGCATATTCTTTTTTTCCTTTTATGAGGATTGTGACTTTCACCAGATCTTTAAAAAGACGTGTAATTTCCAAAAAGATTAAGAATCATCAGTCAAACCATGGTGGTTGTCCATCCCACAGCTCCTTCTCCACTTTGGAGAGTAACTTAAATACCAGTAAGTGGTAAGGCAGTGAGCCTTATAAAGAGTAGGTCTCACCAAATATTGTGCTTTAAAGAAGCTTTCCTTGAGAATTGCTTTTCCGGTTCCTTATTTGTTGTATTACTATGTTTTCATCTTTTTCTAATCTGCTTTCCAGATTGAGCTGGTTTGGGGTCATTTGGCTTCATATCATTTTTTCATATGCTATATATTTAAATCAAATTATTTTAATGTGGTCCTGAATTTCCTTCTCTTTACTGCAACAATTTTATATAGAATCTCACGTTATCTTCTGCTTTTACCTGTCTTTTAAATAAACTTACATTTCATTTGTATGAACCAATTATTATATATCTGTTTCTAATGAATCAAGGAAATTTAGAATTGACAGAAGTCTCAGAATTACTAATAAGCATATCAAGATCTAGATGACTGAGAAATTGACTTGCCAATGATCCCACAGATGTTGTTGAATCCTTAGATCATGTCTTTGTCTTTTTCTCTCCCTTTTTCTCCCTCTCTCTCTCTCACTATCCTTTCAAAATTGAAATTTCAGGGTACAGAATAACAATTTCCTGCAGGTTATGGAAATCACCTTGAACTAAGTAATGGGTGGGTGTGATGTTATCTTCTGATGG